ATGTTCCCTTTCTCTCATATTTCATCCTTATACAGTTCTGCTATTCACTTTATATTTTATAGGGATGGAATACCTCCTACAAGTCATACATATAGTAAGATGTAAACTGTTAATATTTCATATAGCTTGCTGCCTAGGAAACATTGGGTCACTACATGTATTTATTTTATTTATAATATTCATAAACTTCTCAATGTTAAAAAAAACTCCTGGTTGTTCACTTACAAACCATTAAATTATAAGAGAGTTGACTCTAGCTTGTACTTTACAGGTCTGTCTTTCACTACTTCAGCAGCCCAAAAACCAACCAACCAAGCAAACAAAAATCAAAATGGACCAAGTATAGATGCATGTATTACACATCAGTTCACACAAAGTGTATGCAAGTCTTTCCAGGTTAATTTTGGTACCTGTCAATTCTTATCCCCATGGAAGGGAATTCTTAAGCTTATCCACCATGGATTCCACTTTCCTAAACCCTCAAACAGAGAAGACTTCCAAAAGATAATATAGTAAGCCCAGCAGTCCCATGGACAGTCTCTGGCCTTGCTTGATTTATCTGTGTCCTGAGAGATGTGTCCCTGTAGCTATGACATCCAAGGTACCATTTGCTTCACTGTCCAAAAGACTTCATTACTTCTGAATCAGTTCAGCCAGAACCACTACCAAAGCTGCCCCAAGCAAGGAATATTCCACTGCCCAGAACAGAGATGTACAAATAGGCAACTCAAGTTCAGCAAAATTATATGAAACCTAAGCTTGTTAAGTTTGTATCAACTTGCAGGCTTGCCCTGCCCCTTTCATATGAAAATCTGTGCATATTTTCCAAAGGTATCTATCAGTTAGATGCATCTGTCAAAGGTATGCATTCTTCTCTCGTTGATTAAAGTTAACTTTTGTGCATTTTTGTGCACACAGATTTTCATGTGCATTTTAAAATGTAAACATTCTGTTGAATTGATGGCTTTTGGTCTGCAAATCACACTGCAATTTACAGACTTCCAGTGCAGATTCTGTTTGGACCTGTCTACAAGGTCAAAGATCAACTGAATTTCTCATGCATCCACAGTCATTACTGCTTTGTTTCTTCATAATAGCCAGCTTGTGTCTTGTCATTCTTGTGGAGCATGAACATAGACAATCTGGAGATGTGTCTTGGCTCTGAGCAGCTGAAATATTAGTGGACTGGTATGCTCCTTACGTACTTAATGGGGCTGTAACTAATATGAACTTGCTCAATGTAACTGAATACATGGGTAGACTACCCATGATTTGAAGTGATAGTTTGGAAGTGATTGTACTTAAACTGTAGACTGTTGATTAAACAATCTGTCCTGAAAACATATGATACCATTATATAAGCTTCTGCACATGTCCTCCTATTTACTGGAATTAATTAAAGACAGTAGATAGTATGATTGCAGTAAAAAGGAAATTTGCCTACTAAGCAGACAAACAGCCTGAAGGGAGCAGGCAACATGTGGAAGCACTGATAAACGTGTTCAAATTCATACACTTACTTAGCTTTAAATTTTATTTTCAAGACTCCTAGAGTATAACAATATGAACTAAGCTCAGAATTTACATTTGTGTTATTTGTTAAAGGTTTATCCAACTTAAGAGGATATTTAAGTTTTTAATATTCATTTAATATTAAATTAATACTTGCATTCATGTTCCAAAGCAAATGCTGACCTTAAGTGTAAATCACTCATGTAATTTCATAAATTCTGTTACATTTGTGACACCATATATAGTGCATTTCCTGATGTAATTAAGTTATTGATCATTATTATTTATGATTAATTAATATGTATTCAATTTATACCCTGCCCCATTAACCATGGCTTACAACGTTATACCTGTGGTTTAAATAGGATGATTTTTTTCCATAGCAGAGACTTATACTAAATATCTCCTATTTGCTTATTTTTCCTTCACCACTTTTTCTTCTGGCTATAATCCTGATTCCTTAATAGCTGCTTGGCTAGCAGAAATTCATCAAGTGAAGCTTCCCCTGGAATGCAGTAAGGAAAACTGCTTGGAAGGCATGATAGAAAAAGTTGCCATCCTTATTGCATTGTCAAACATAATCCTTTCCCTTCTAATGCTAAAATCTCAAAAGTGATATTAATATTCAAGGACCTTTTCAAGTTTAGATGGAACAGATGCCTCTGATTCATATTCAAACTCTTGTGTTGATGAATACAGTTTGCGAGTTTTCTATTTAATGCAAAAGCGTGTTATCATTATGGTGGATCAGCAAATTTGGGAAATGTGCAAAGATGCTTCCTAAGTCATTTCAAATATTATATAAGGATCCAAAGTTGTGCTTCAGTGAAGAGGGAGTTTCCAAAAACCTGCTTTATGCTGCTATCAAAGACTCGCTCATTGCTTCACACTGTTGTTGCTTTAGAGTAACTAACTATAGACTAGAAAAGAGACATTCTATTTTTACCAAGTAACATGAACTGTACTTGTATCAACAGGTAAGCCATCAAGGACTAGAAAGGTGTGACTTAATGCTTGTGTGAAAAATTTTGCTTCATAACAGTGCCCAATATCTACCACCCAATTGTTTGCTTCAGCACTGAGTCTTGGGCAAAAACATAATATGAGGCAATTAGTCCCTGCTGAAACAATTAAGGAATTGTTTTAAATGTGAAAATCCCTGAGAAGTATGTGATTGCAAAGTTCTGAATATGACTCAAAGCCATTTCTTCTTTAGAGAGGTCATGAACTCAATCCTGGTTTTGTGCCACTTTTAAAAGCCCTTAAGATTACTGGTTTGGAACTGAACGGATGTATTAAATTTAAAAGCAAGGACTGTACTATCTGAGGTACTGTAATTATCTTTGCACAGGAATGCCAAGTCACAACCTGGAGACCAAGTATTCTGTTCAAAAAAGACACTCTTGTTATCCGGGAGGTCAGAGAAGATGACATTGGAAATTATACTTGTGAATTAAAATATGGACTGTTTTCTGTCAGAAGAACTACAGAATTAACAGTTACAGGTAACCAGAGCTTTTCATTTAACATTTTTCTCATAAGGCTTGTTATGGATGTGTTCCCTGCCAGCTGGCAGGGTTTTGTTTTGTTTTTCTGTGTGCTGTGTACAAAGGTGTTTGCTTAAAGGGACACAACTATTACACAAAAGTAATTATTAGATTTCATACCATGGCTCTACAACAGTCTGAATCACATCTTGGGTTGAATCTGCTTCCAAACCTTGAAGTGATATTAGCTTCTTTAACGTGTCATAAAGCAACTATAAAAGTCCCTGTGTGCATGCAAGACACCACAGTAGGGTGAATAAAACCCATCTTAGAATCAGATGAGTTATTATTTTGGGAATCATATATCTGAAAACTAAAACAATATCCTGAGTAAACTGTATAGCCAATATATGCATAATTACAAGCATAGTGTCTCATGCCCAGGTCTTCTTTGTTACAATTTCCAGATGTCTGTATTTGATTCTGTAACAACAGTAACAACAAAATTTCCAGAACTATTTTAATCTATCAAATGATTTCATGGAATTTTCAGTTTGTTTTCATACAATGTACATATTAAGGCTGTGATTCCTTACATAGATTCCTGGGAGTTGCTTCTTATTTCTGAGTAGGCATGCATTACATAGGACTGCCATATAAAGAACAGAAAATAAGGAATAGCATGAAATTCATCTATAAGGTATGCTATCAAAAAGAATGCAGTGATGGAGAACCAAGGTAACAGAATGCAGCAATGAGAAGAGAAACTGATGAACCTATTCCTTTGAACCCCCCCCCCCCCAATACTAGTTATATTCTTCTAATACTTCAGTGTTACACAAAATGTGTGTGTGTGGGGAGGGGGTGCATAGGGCCATATCAAACAGTGTTGTTCCATGGATTTGAACAGTGCCATTATGTTGGAACAGTTGTGTTAATGGCCATTATAGTCTACTGACCACATTAAGATGACAATCCATGGCTCTTTTCTGCCCAAATAACCAGTGAGGAAAGCTACTGCTGTAATGGTGTATGTCTCATTGGAATGTTTGTAGAATTATGTTCTATTAGTCAAGTCAGTCAGTCTGTCTGTCTTCTTTTTTAATCAACCATCATTGTGATTTTTTTTTTCCTGGGAAAGATAAGTATGAAATGTTTCTTGTGAGATAGTTTAGTGACAAATCACAGTAATTATGTTTAACTACTTGGTATCTTCAGAATACATATCCTTGTTGCTTTTATTCTCACAATTTATATTAGAGAGATTGTACTTTTTATAGGGCCATGCAGATGACTGAATTTGAAGTTTCTCTGTCTTTGAGAAACATTGTGTTCACTGGTCTATGTTCATATTCTGTATATCCACATAGATATCCATCATATATCTACATCTGGAGATATCTTTTCCATGTTTCATCCTTCTTCCCAACCTAAATTCAAATGTATATCTTGTTAGCAAGTGCACTGAAGGGCTATTTCATGCAAGCTTATCAGAAATACGGCCCACTATATACAATAGACTTACTGCCAGAAAAGTATGTATTGCAGCATTTAGCTACAAATCATTTACATGCAGCAAATCCCTCCATCCTTCCATTCGTCCTTCCTTCCTGAGTGCTTTTCCGCTAGACTTGCAGATGATGTAGTGTTGTTTGCTCAATAAACTGTTTCACTTGGGTTGTTAGGCCCCTAAACTCTCCAGTTCAATACAATTGAATGCTTGTGTAATTTTCCATTTCCTTTAGATGATTTTCTAACCAATTATTCATGTTCAAGTCCAGCATAACTTGGAAAACAAAGGTACAGGGCCCAGTTGCCTGGGTCTTCTTTATACTGTTGTTTCTGTTGGGAAAAACCATAGGATTTGGCCCTGCCTGTGTGGCTGGTTAATTCTGAAACTATTTCAGCCATATGAAAGAAACATTTCCAATCAGCCATGAAGAACATTGAGAGGCAAGAAATTTTAACTAGTGTTTATCCAGTAGTTCCTGGTCTATTAGCAGTTGTAAGCTACGATTTTGTGTGTATTAATGTATTGCTAACCAGTGTCCTGCACTGGACATTGTGAGAATAGAATGTGCTAACATTAGTGTGCTAACATTGGAATTAGCACACTAATCATGCCATTTGTAAGGGGAAGCCATACTTCTCATGGCCTGCTTTGGGGTTTCTAGAGACACAGGGCTGACTAGTGTTAGATATGGAATGCTTTATGGAAAGTTCGAGCAATCTGATCATCCTCATCTTCTTCCATTGCATTTATGCCCACCATTCTTCTTCTTGCAAGGAATCCATATAGAGTCAAACGATTTCTGATAAATAATGTGGCAATGAAAAATTGAAAAATTCTTCCATAGAATGACAGAAGATACAGTCAGAGTAAAATAGGAATATAACTAATAGAAACCTAATTCATTTTTGTGCAGTCCTGGATAAGGAGAGCAAAATTATGCGCACACACATATATATGAATAGGTCAGCTGGATCTTCAGCATTCACTTTCCATTTATTTGGCTGTGCATCTTCAAAGACATTTTTAGAAAGAGTGGCTAGAATGTAATGTATGGAGAACTAGCCTATCTTTGGTGAAGGTAAATGGTATCCCTTCCTCCCAATGATACTACATTGCTCAAGCAATATGCTATCAAAGCATCTTTAATGTAAATATATTGAAAGCATAATAAAATTCAGATTGCCTTGAAATCTTCTTGGCTGATAATAAATTACACTATTAGGGCAGAGGAATATTGCTTTCTCACTAAAGAAACAGTAGTCATAACTGTAAATGGGAAAGATAAAGTGTGATGACTTGTAACAATATGACTCCAGCTAGATACAGTTGTATTTAACTTGTAAGAGCTTTAAAAGATCACTTTCCATTTATTACACATTATGTTGCCTAAATGTGCTGCATTAAATGTCACTGAAGTTTACATATTTTCATAAAGGAAACAGAAAAGCTGTAGATCACTTCATCATGAAAAGAAATTAAATCCACCTTTTCTATGGCAGAAGCATTTTCTCCATGGCTGTTATATAATGCAGCTAATTGAAAGCTATGTCTGTGGTTGTCTTTATTAGATGTTCAAAATCTATAATTCATGTAAGCATGTTAAGCATCTCAACTACTGAAAACTATATGGAGGTTATAAAATGTAATATTCATCCTTCCTTTCAAAATCTGACTAACATTGTCAAGGTCAGCCAGAATCTGAGCTAGAAATTTTCTTGATTCACTGGTGGTTTGACTGGGTTTATTTATTTCAAAGTATCACCATTTTACAATATAAATTTCCTGCACACAGAGTCCAATAAGGGGACAAGGTTAAATCCTGCCACTTTTCCCAATCCAGCTGAGCACCATTATGTTTCCAATGGAGTGAAAAGGGCTCAAACACATAGTTGCTTCCTGCATCTTTAATGTCTATGTGTTTCCTCTCAAGATGTAAAGTAGAAAAAAAAAGGTAATATCAAGTTGCTTAGATTCAACTAGTTCCTGCTTTTGCTGCTTTATGGGGTTGCTTATCTCTGTAATGCCATGCTAGCATTAAAGTGGAAGGTGTAAACTCATTGGAACTCCTACAGTAATCTGTTTCTTATTGAATATGTTTAATGTTCACTAGATTGTATATATCATGCTTCTGCCTATTGCTGTTAAGTCCTTTCAAATTATTTTCTGCAAAGCAACTATGTGATAGATCTTAATTAATTCCATTTTACAGATGACCAAATTGGCAAAATTGTGATTTCCCAAGAATATATATTACATTTGCTTGTATGACATGAATAACCATTGGAATATTTTGGTAAGATAGCCAAGTGGTACATTTGATGGTTGACTTCTATCCTTCTGATATTTTTTCTAACAATAATAAATAAGGCACCCACCAAACTTATTTCCAGACTGTATCTTCACTTCCTAGTTATGCAGCCTTGAGCATACGGTTTAGAGCAGGTTTGATGGCCAACATCTTGTCAGAACTGACATCTCTTTTTATGTCTCTGGAACCTAAATATCCAATGTTCTTAAAATTTCTATGTACCATACTTCCAGCTGGGCTCAGGGAGCAATGTCAGATACAAGCCTGTTTTTGCTAGCCAAGGTTGTGACCTTGACCTTTCTTCCTGCTCCATCTGTTGTACTGATCTGTTACCATTTTATGAATCTGGATTGATAGTAAGGGATTATTGAAGATGTTGCCCAAAACATCTGGAGACCACTGAGTTGCTTGCCCTTGCTGTAATGAAATGTGCAATCTTTGACCTATTGGCATAAAACACAATCGTTTCTGAGCCTTGCAAACAAGGCATCTGTCTGATAAAAGTCCATGAAACTTTCCACCTAACTTAGCAAAACCTAGGCAGTGGTCTTTATATACAACCTGCTAGCTATACCCTTATCCCACATTACTGCGTGCAGGACTTGAATTATGGCTATACTTAAAGAAAGGCTCTTACCAGTTCTATAGGTAAGGACATTTCCCAAGGTTGGTATATATAGGAAAGGAAAATTATTTGGTTGTTCTCTGCATAGTTTCCAGAATCACAGTGTACACACAAACATCCCACTTCACACCTTCTTCTAGAATCTAACACTTGAAGACCACAATAACATAGATTAAATTTTGAAAAGGGTGGGCAGTTAAAAGTACAATGAAATATGGGAATGCTTTTCAGCAGTGAAAGCAAAAATGAATCTAAAGAGACTATTTCAGTTCATTAGAATGCACTTGATTAGAATGCACAATCCTCATTCCCATAAATAGCAGCCAGAACCATGGAAGCTGGCAACTTAAGGATTGAAGCTGCTCAGCATTGGTTTATCAGATGTTAAGAAACCAGTGAGACTCATCAGTCTGGGGCACAGATATGACTTTTGGGGATTTATAATGGTCAACTTCAAGAAGAAGTAATCACCATCAAATTTAATTTTGAAACTAATTAAAAATCTAGCCTGGAGAAGAATTCTTAGTTTATCCTAACCCTAACCCCAGTCCCTTAATTGCCTTTCTCACAAT